AATGCATTAGGCATAATTTAATTAAGCAATTTAGTGGTAATATATACTACGTTATTTCCTTAAGAATTTTTCTTTCTAACTAATAATAAAATTTATATTTCATATATAAAATATTTTATTTAATTTTTCTTAATTATACTTTATCCAAAATCACAAATATTTTAATTTAAATGCAAGCTTTAGTATTCTAAAAATATACGTTTAAAGGTCTTATATGATGGAATTTGAAATCATTTTAGTAAATAATTTAAAATAATAAAACAATAATTTTTAAAATAAGCAAATAATTAAATAATTTCAAATATTTAAAATGAAGCAATAAATTTTACTATTTTTTTAATTTTAATATTTGCAGAAATTTCAAAAGGAATTTTTCATATTTTTTTTTTTTTTTTCACTCTATCGAATTAGTATTTTATCCGTGAAGGAACTAATGTAATAATTTAAAATATTAATTTTTGATAATGTTAATTTTTGTATATTGTTTTTTAAGTATTGATTTTTAGAATATTAATTTTTGTTTTTTTCCTCTTTTGTCTTATTCTAATTGCTGATGAGAGATTTTGAAGTTATTTTTTGTTTCTTTCCTGATATTAAATGAGGAAAAAAGCAGTCAACAAGAGTTTTTTCAAAATTTTCATTTTTTCTTCCCTTTTCTGAAATGAAATAAACAGGGATAAAAAAGAGAATAAATTAAAAATGCTCATAAACAAACTAACTTTAACATACATTAAACTATTTGATGATTATTAAGTTAAAATTTAATGTGAAATGTAAAATTAAAGATGTAAGGATTAAGATGTTGGAAGATAAAGTGTAAAAAAATTAAAATGTAAAAAGATAAAATGTTATTTATTCAAGCATCATTGTATGAATTTTACATTTTTTCTTTCAGTATTATATTTATCTTCAAAATATGTTATCAAAATTTAAATTGTCAGCATTTACTTCCTAATTTAAAAAAAAAAAAAAAAAAAAAAAAACAGTAAATATTGGAAGAATGAGAAAAAAAAGTTAAATCAAATGCATTCAGTTGTAAGAAGGAAAATAAAAAAGAAAATTTAATTGAAAATATTTAATAAATTAAATTCTTTTCTGCAAAGAAAATTGTTATTTATTCATTTTCTATTTCAGTATTTATTAATGTCATACATTTCAAGGTAAAAGTTTCCACTTTTCTTGATTTTTTATCTTTTCATTCCGTTACCAAATTTCATCAAAAGGCTAAAAAATAATTTTCACTTCACTCAATTGCATTCAAACTTGTCAACATTATAAGTTTAAGCGATTCGTCGTCATCTGACAAATTAATAAAATATTTTATAGTTCACAGTGCGAGAAAAATATGAGCCTTAATTATTCTACTTAATTTTATAAGGTGAATCTAACAGTTTGTTAAATAATTTTTTAAAAATATGAATGTTCTTCTTTTAAAGAAAAAAATTTGTTGACAGTTGAAATGTTTCAGCCGAATAAAGTCATCAAATGTTGAAGATTAGGCAAAAGGTATGAAACATATGGAATATTATCTGTAGACAGGACGATAGAATCAATTTAACTTTTTCATCCAGAAAAAAAGGACAAAAAAAAGCTTTTTAATTTTGAAAACAGTTCAAATTGATAGTTTTGAAATGCAAAAAAACTTCAAATTTCTTGCTTACGAATTAATTTGATAGGAAGAGAAAATTAGTATTGTAATTAATTACTACTAATGCATCGGAATGCTTGTCCTTCTTAAATTAATCAACTGATATTATTGATTTGATAGCAGTGATTGATAAGTTCATGTTTACATCGGTGCTGCACTAATGCCACGACATCTAACTAACATTTATATATCACTGGGAGAGAAATTAATTTTGCTATTTTAGTCTTTTTAATTCAGAAATTCTCACTACCTGAACTATTCCGGAGTGATCATTTTTTTGAAATTAGCTCGATGCTTAATAAAAATTAATTTTTCATTCTCTTTCCTAAAATTTCTTCTGAACACAAATTTTAAAAAATATTTTCTTTTTTTTTTTTTTTTTTTGTTGTTGTTTTCTTTCTCTTTACTTTTTCTTCTTTTCTTGGGCGACAATAAGCTAATAAACAAAAGCAAAAGAAAAAGCGAAAATTATTAATTTTCTTTACTGATTGGTAATATCATCAAATTAAATGTTTTAAGTGAATGTAATTTATTTCATTTATTATAGGTATTTAATTTAATTGATTCGCTAAAAAAGTTTGATTTATACAAACAGATAATATATATACTTAAAAAGACATGAAATTGTAGTATATTAATAAGAATAGAATTATCGATGTAATTAATTAGTGTTAATTATTTTTTATTACCAGTAATTATCAATTTAGCAGTGTAATATAAATGTAATGTAGCAAAAAAAAAAAATTTTTTTTTCACAGTCCATTTTTAGTTTGCTTTTTTCTCGTTGGTATTTATCATTTCTTTTCTTTTTCTTTTGATATTTTATGGCGCATATTTTTTTTTTTTTTTTTTTTTTTTTGCTTAAAAGTTTACAAAAAAACAAAAAATATTTTATTCGTTCATAAAAATTTTCTGAAAAGGAAAGAATTTTTATTGTAGAGGAAAAAAGAGGAAAGACAAATATTTGAAACAAAGATGACTTCTTCTTTCTTCATTATTTTACTTCATTCTTCTTTTTCTCTTATATCACTAATAGTTCACAAAAGAAGGCAATGATTTATCATTTATCATTAAATTCAACAATTTCCTACTTTCTAATTCATTTTTCAATTTTAACTGAAACTCTGGTACTTTCAGTATTATTTTATCATCACTATTGCTACTGATAATAATGATAACGACTATGGCCTAATTTTCTTTCTCTTTTTGTTATTTGACGACTGTCACTCAGATCAATAAAACTGCATAGCGTAATTGATGATAATTTCTACATCTTCATTTCATTATCAACCCTTTTGTCATTCATGTCGCCGTCTTTTTCTTCTTCTTAAGAAATGAGAAAAAGGTTTCTTTTTTTAATTTTCATAAAGGTTGCATTCATATTTTTACATTTTTTGAAAAATGACATAAATTTAACATTCAAACTTATCGCAAAAGTTTAATACAATAAACTAATTAAACATAAAGTTGGATATAAATTCTAATAACGGTTATATATATATATATATATATATATATATATATATATATACTATATACTATATACTAGGAGTAAAACTATATATGGATCTCTTTTTCGTGCCGAACTGTAAGAAATTATTAGTCAATTAATTAATTAATTAATTAAACTGAGATTTAGTGTCAGTTTGGTGAAATGGAATGAATGTTTACTTCCTTTTTTTGCAATCGATTCTAACCATTTTTCATCTTTTCTGATGGAACATAAATTTCCGAATAATTCTAAAGCTTGGATTCTTTTATGATTATTCTCACTATATTATTATTATTATTATTATTATTATCAATTATGATTTGTTATTATTATTGTTAATTATTACTACTATTTTTATTATTTCTCGAGAAATATACAAAAAGCAAAAATTTACCAGCTGATAATAATTGCAATCAATAATGCATTCATTTATATTTTAGTAAATATTTAAATGTCAATTTTTTCATTCCATTCAGAAAACTATGATTGTATTGCAATCATTTTTATCTATTCCAAGTAATAATATAATATCATTTCTTATAATTAAAATAATATTCTTAGTACATTAGCATCAATGCATAGAAATGTAAAAGTTTTTTTCCTTTCTTTTTTGCTCTTTCATTTCCTTTTCCATTTTATTTTTTTTTTTTTCAATTTTACTTTTTGCATGGCAAATGGCAAAAATTTTTTGAGTAAAATAAAAGACTTTGTAAACATTATGTGATATCTAAAGTTTGTTTAGCTTTTCACATAAGAAAATCATTAGACTTTATTTTAATGATATATGAAATCGATATTACATTAAAACTGAATTAATATTATATCACATTAAAATTGAAGACATTTTAGATATCAGTAGTGTTTTCTTCAAAATATGATCCACCTTTATTACTGTTGTAGTATTATCAGCAGCTATAATGTTTTTTTTTCTGTTAAAATTACTGCTAATATTAGGAAAAGAAGGAAGGTATGTGGACAAAATCGCAATTATATTTTGTACATTTACTTTTTTTCTTCTGCTCTTTCCTACTTTAATGATTCTGAATTCAAGTAATAGCTTAATCTAAATAGTAAATTAATGAGATGTAATTTTTATTTATTGAATAACTGATGAAAATTCATAGAAAAGCTACCAATCCACTAAACCCGTAATTTCAAAATATAATTATGATTATTTTTTATCTATCTTTTCCTTTCTTTTATTTTTTATCAGAAAATAAAAATATCTCATTAATCCATTTAATTCCTATAGAAGAATGCAAAACTTTCATATTTACTTCCCATAAGTTCTGACAAACTTTTTTTAATGAAAATTTAAAATTATTTTCTTCTTTTAAAATTAAATTTATATTTTTCTCTGGAGTAATTCAAATTCTCTGCAATTTTTACGCATTGCAAATATTCAAATATATTAATTAAAAAAATTTAATCATTCAATTTAATTTGTTTATTTATTTGCTTATCCATTTTCTTATATGCATGTTCTCTCATTCATCAAATGTTTTTATAAAATTTTCGAAATTTTTGAAAACAATTTTTTTGCTCAGAAACAACGTCCATTTAATGAATAATACTATCCACATATGCATATGTATATTTTTTGATTCCTTAAACTAAATAGAATATTTGTTATATTTCAGATTGCTTGCATAAAGGCATATAATTGAATAGAATTTAAATACGATTTTTGAAGAAACAAGCAAAGTGACCATTTCATATGGGAATTTCCTATCAATTTGAAACAATTTTTGAGTTAAAAAATATAAGCGAATTGGAAATTTAATTTTCATTCCAACTATTATTATTTGCTTGGCATTATGTGTCGGTGGAGTGTAAACAAATTTGCTGCAATGATGTGACATGAACACTGACTTCCATAAATTATTATCATTTATAATAGCTATACTACAAACTGCTATATTTCGTTACGGTATCTTTTTTTTTTTTAACTTTTATTTTCGTTTTCAAAATTTAAAATTGAAAATATATAATAATAATTCTATGTGCTATGAAAATCCAATCCAAGTACAATTTTCTCACAAAATTGTATAATGAATAATGAAAAAGTTATGACTGATATTTACATTTTCTAATTTGTTATCATTTTCTTGTAGTTATGAAAACTTATCGGATATGAGCAATACCGAAATGATTTTAATGAAAATTTGCAATATTATCAGAGATGAATGATGAAAAATTTTTGTTTTCGAAATTGGCTGATAAAATACTTCTAGTCAATGGAACTGTATAATTAATTAGTCAATTAATTGTTAATTTCCAAATTAATTAATTCAATAAATTTTAGGAAACAGTTGTATGGTTGATTATTGCGCTGATATCTATTCAGAACGATTAGATGAAGGTGGCATTCTTATTGGTATGAATGCGCCTTATTGTCAGGTAATATAATTAAAAAAATTTTTTCATATGCTATTTTCCATTTTTGATTATTTGGTGAGAATATTTTATTGATTATCAAACGAAATTAAGGAAATATAACACTGTCCTCATAAATTTCAGACTAAGATAACAAGTTTAAATTAATCAAATCTATATTCATTGAAATAAGATTATTTATGATAAAATTAATTTACTTAGTCACCAAATGACAGTTTTTTTTTTGGAAAAAATAAAATTTAAAATTTTAGAAATTAAAGATTCAACAAGTAGGAGAAAAATAATAAACTTGAAAATAATATATGAATTTTTTGAATGTTATTCACTTTAGTGTAATCTTTCGCCTCTTTCAACCTTTTTTCTTCCAGTTCATTAATAATATTTAGCCTTTAGCTTTGAATGTTTCATTTAGTAAATGTTGCTTTATCACATTTTAGGTATATTAGATACTGAATTTTATATGCTTTAAAAATTTCACGTTGTAAGTATAATTAATTATAAAAAAATTTCACGTTAGTTGTAAGTATAATTAATTATTATCTACAATTTTTCTTCATAAATTAAGGAAAAGATAAAAAGGAAATTCCAGTTTTTAAATTAAAAATTCTTGATTTTAATTTGTTTTTAAATCATATTATGAAAATAAGAGATAATATCATTGTTTCTCTCCCTTTTTTATTTTCCGTTCGTTATTGTTTATTGTATTTTGTAAGCATGTAGGAATACATTCTGTAAGCTTACCATTAGAATAATCAAAAAATTCTAACATCAAACATAAGATTAATTAATTAATTGCTTACAAAAACTCAAAAAAATACTAAGATGAAGGATCGAAATTGTTTATTTAAAAAAGAAAAACGTATTTGTTTTAATTTATCTACCACTTTTTTTTTTTCATTTTTTATTTGATTATAGATAATAACTGATTATATTTACTGCTTGAGCGAAACAAATCGCACATGTCGCGGCAATCTCAAATATCACACATTGCAAACTTTGCTTCATCGACAACGTCGTGAATTTTCCTGTAATTCATTCCCGGAAGCGATGAAACCCAGTAATTATGTACCTATCGGGTGATTAGCATTTTTCTGCACTCTTAAAAATTGAAAATATTATAAATTTTAAATTAAAACAAAAAGCAAAACGAACAAATCAATAAATCTAGAATAATTTTAACATGTTAAACTGTTTCGTACGTTAATTTAAATCAACTTAATTATTCAATTTATATTTTGAAATTTTATTACTATTTTCTTTGGTTCAATTAATGATTAATTAACTGACTTGAATGCTACTATTATCTAAAAACTAAATTAAAAGATGAGTAAATGCTGCAATAGATAAGCAGAATTCATTGGATTGTAACATTTGCGCTTCATTTTACAGTTGAATGTTTTGCAAAAATCATACAAATCACTTAAACATTCACGATTTAAGATGTGCATTTCCGACTGATAGTGCTCCTCATGTAATACAACGTTACTGTGGACTTTTTGGATCACGACATTTGCGCACACTAAATGGTCATTTTGAAACATGTGCTCGTAATGGTGCTTATCCATTAATAAATAACAAACATTTATTAATACAAATTACTCACTCGTTTGTCGCGAGTGGTACCACTGCTGTTTCTAAGGTATATAATTTACAATTCAAAAAATTCATTCGAATTAAAAAAAAAAATTATCACATTTTAATCATTCAATAATTAAAATAAACAATAGAAAGTTAGATTTTTCCTTAAAGAAAAGAAATTATGGATGAATTTTTATTTAAAATAACACACTGAAGAAAATTTAATTACACTTCAATATTATAAATACTGTATAAATAGTGATTGTATTGCCTTACTTAAATAATTAGTACTATTCCATAGCCATAAAAATACATTACTTAAGTGTATCGTTATATTTCGATATATATAATAAATATTATACAAAAGAAAAAAAAAATAACGCACAAAATTGCTATACTTATATTAATTAATTAATTTCTAAAAACTTGTCAAAAAAAAAATCAATTTGATACTATATGACATATAAATATGTGTTATAAAGTATGAAATGCTTACATATAGATAGTTAGATATGAAATTAAAATTGGTACTAAAATAATTAAAGTAAAGTATATGTTCCTTTTTTTTTGAAGTTATTATGTTAGTGAAACTTTTATTAAAATAGTATTCAATTAAGAGACAAAATTTCAGAGTCATTTTTCAGGTTACTGTAATTATAAAAGAAAATAACCGTTGCACAACACGTAAACAATATGAAGCAGGGTCAGATGATGAGCAATTACCTAATTCATTTACGGATGGTAGCAGATTTGTTGGTAATTCAGGACGGAAAGCAGTTGAAATTAAATCAAACACAAATCAAACACATGTTGAAATTATATTACGTTATTTAGCAACAATAATTTATATTCGACGACATGGCATATATTTATCGGTTGCTTTAAGGATACCAGAACGAATAGTGCAGGTATTTACTTACTTTTAATTTAAAAAAGAAAAGTCATTTTACATAGTAATCACAAATTATCGTCCTATAATCGTCTAAAAATAATTCATTCTAATAAATACTTTCCTTTATTTTTTTAAAAAATCTTTAATTTTCATGAAGTAATAAACAAATTATTTTCGTCTTTTTTGAAGAGAAACAAACAGCAAATTAAACAAATCTATTTATAATTAAACATGAATGTCGACAATATTAATATACGTAGACATTTCAGATTTATTAATTTCTAATAAAATAGCTGTTTGCCTTTTTTTTTTTTTTGCTACACAAATTCGATTTTCAATCATTTTTAACTTTCCCTCCTGTAGCTTTACTCAATTAATTATAAACATTTTTCACTCTTTTTTATACTATGAAACTTTTTGCAATCAATAATTCCACTTATGTAATTTTATATCAATTTAAAACTTTATTCTTCGAAAATTCGTATTCATTATTTATCCCAAATATTAAAAAATCTTTTAGAATCATACAGATAAAAAGTTTTTCTTTTTTTGAAACAATTGAATGATGGAATTACTTATTTCAGGAGCAAACCGATAATGAATTTGATATTTGTACATCAGGTTGTAGTCGTAGTGAAACGGTAAAAATTGAGGAAGCATTAGCAAATCCTATTTCATTTACCAGATGTCATGGAGTTCGGATAAAAATACCTCTTAAAATTGCAATTGGTGAGTAATTGTGATTTTATAAAAATAAACGAATAAAAAATAATTTTTTAATTAAATTTTCGCTGGTGTGACAATTCAACTCAATTAGTTAAACAAAAACTGATACTCTAACACTTCCAACTAATTAAATATAAAATTATTTGAATTTTTAACATTCAAATCTAATGATTCATACCATCATTTTTAATAACTATATTGATTTACATTGGAATAATTAAATAATTTACATTAGAATATAATTAAACAAAACAAAAGGAAAAAAAAAAAAAACTAATCGATAATTCATACTTTTAATTGTTGCATATCTTTTAAATTTTTAAAATATTTTTTTCTTTACAAAAAATTAATTAAAATGAATTATTGCAAAATTTTTTAATTTTCACTGACAAATTTCATTTAAAAAAAAAAACAAAGTTAATTTACAGAACGATGCAAACATGCTAATGTAACAGATGCATTTTTTGATGCATGCGTATTTGATTTTTTAATTAGTGGCGATGAAATGTTTATTGCGCAAATTATTGATGCACAAGATGATATCATCGATTTATTTTCACCCTATATGCATCATTATTTTACGGGTAGGCAGAATTTAACTTTGTATGATTCAAAAGCTGGCTATAAATGGAAACAATGTATTCGACAATCTTCCGTTATTCATTCCGAACAAATATCCGGTTCAATTAAGCTACAGCAGCGATACAGTAGTATCAATGAATTAGTAATACCTATGCTAATCGTACTTTTTACATTTAACATTTTCTAAATTTCTTAATTATTATTTGTTTGTTTACAGTCTCTCTCCTCCTCTCCTACTCGTTCTACTTCAATTTTAAGTATTGATAATATTATCTTATTATAATTTACTTATTATTTTTAAGTAAGGAAAAAAAAATGCTTGTAACTTGTAACTTTGTTATATAATTTTTTTTAATGTAAAAGTTATCAATTACTAATCGAATATTTGATTAAGTGTTTAATGCCATAGGGATAAAGTCATATCGATTGATTTACTAATTGATTGATTAGCACTAAGATAAAATATAGTCAGTTAATTTTTCTAAAAGTTAGCTTGGGTTTTACTTTTTTTTTTTTTTTTTTTTGTTTTTTAAGTTCAATTAATTTCATTGTTGAGAACAGTTTTTATTATTAGATAGAAAATAGAAGCAAAAAAGAAAATAGAGATTTTTTTTTTTTTTTACTCTTGAGCTTCAAATTTTTTTTCTGATTTTTTTTATAAACAATAATAGGAAATCTTTCAGTTTGTCCATTCTTTTTAATATAATTCATAAGTTGTTAAAAAAAAGAAACAAACAAACAATAAACAAATTAATTTATTTGTTAATATCATTTCAGGGTATATTCTACTACCAACGAAGTTTCAGTTTTATTGGTTTTTAATAAAATAGTCGATGTTTTATTTACTGATTTTTTCCGCTAATTTAAAATTTTATTAATGTAAAAAATAATTATTTTATCCTTTACCCTTTTTCCATTTTTTTATTTTGCTTCCAAATTAATCAAAAATTATTTTAAAAATCAAATAAACAGTGATAAAATAAAAATGATAAGTCAATCATGTATTTTATTTATTAATCATTATTATTATCACTGTTATTTTTTGATAATAAATAAAATATAACTTATAGGAAGATAGCAATATTTAAATCTTACTTACTTACTTACTTTATATATTTATTCAGTTATTTATTCTTGTATTATTGTATATTGAAGATTCAAGAAAGGTTTAATTATTTCAAATTAAAAGTATACTTACAAAAAAAATGAACTTTCTGGATTTTTTCTGTTTAATTCATCCTTTCTTTTGAAAATCAAACCAAATGAAATTAAATTTTTTTGTAAACTTAAAAAATTTTTGGTTGTAATAAATGATGATAGATCCTGCATAAGTGATAAATAATATCATTACAAATTTGATAACTACCTCGAAATAAAAAACTTTAAAAGGAGAATTATAGAAAAATTAATGAACAAATGAGATACAAATGAGAAATATTGTTTATGTCATTTCTTTCTTTTTTGTTTCTTTCTTTTATTGGAAATGGTAACTTTGAAATTTTAATTTTTTACAGAATTAGATAATGAGGGAATTTTATTTAAATTACAGTTATAATTAAAACCTTTGCGAGAAATGAGAAATATTTAATTAATTACGAAATTATCAAATAGTGAAATTAGTGAAAAAAATAGTGAAATAATGAAATTATCAAAAAATTACAGTGATTTGTCTTCTTCAGTGAAATTTCATTAACAGAAAGACGATAAATTTACTATTCTTTTAGAAGTAGTCAAAACACAAAAATACCAAAAACAATTAATTTAGTGATCATTTAATCAGCTCTTTTGTAATAACAAGATTGATCACTAACTATTTATCATTACTATCAGTTAGTCTTCTTTATAGTTTATGATAATGCTACTTTTTTACTTTAACTTAAGCAGTAACATTGCCTTACTGATATATTATCAATAGTTTACAAAAAATACTGTTACTAAAACAAAACAAATGACAAAGTTACCTCAATAACATTCCTCACATCCTTCTTTTTTCCTCGATGTTGTAAAAAATTTATCGATCGTCTTAGAAATGAGATCTCATCAAATGTGATATTTTTCCTTTTTCAACAATTTTCACTATTTTATTTTCGTGTTATTGATTATTGATTGTCCTTTTTTTTATTATAGAAAGAAATGAACTTCAAAGAAAAAAAAAAGTAGAAAAAAGGAACAAAACTTATTCTTTTGCGGGTTAATTTTTAAAGTTATCCCTTTTGTTTAATTTTTTTGTTTTCTTTCAAGTTATTTAATATTTATTTGTTTATCTGTTGTATTATAAGTGTGTGAAAAATTTGAATGTGATTTTGAACGAAATTTAAAAGTTTTGTTTATTTCGAATTAATAAAAAAAAATTATGAAGGAAGAAAATGTTTGTATGCGAATTCACAGGACGAACTCACTCGTAAAGTTGTGAGAACTGAAAATTTTCGAAATTTAACAAAAAGGAACTAAAATTTTGATTTTTTTTTTTGAGCAATTCGCCAAATTTTGCAGATTTTTTGTTTCTTGGAAAATAATAAAAATTTTTAAATAGAAGAAAAAAGAGACAAAAATTCAATGAATCATTTGATTTGATCAAACAATTGCCAAATGGTATTTGGATGAATTCGAACATTCATTCACCGTGGGAATCACTAATCTTATCAAAAGTGAAACACTTCTGATAAGATTCAGAATCAGCTGATATTTTAGGAAAACTATTCTAAGTTTAAGAAGCAATTCAACAGATATCAGAAATGAATAATATCATTTAAATCAAATACTTAGCATCAAAGGTGTTTTCAGTGGAATAAAAGCTTTAATATATATAATTTATTAGGCAGATTTAGAAAATTTTATTCTGATGTTCCAACAATTGAAAAACTTAAATTGAAAAAATAGAAAGGTAATGATTTATTGATTTACTCAAATGTGAAATATTTGAGTAAATAAGAAAAGATTTCATGAATATATGTGAAATATTTGAACAAATATAAAAGAAAGTAATTCTTTATCACTCTATTCTCCTCAGTTTAATTTGTTTAAATTTTTAGGAGATTTTAGATAATACTATTAAAGTGCAAAATGTAATGTAATTATCATTTGCGTTAAATAGTAATATAAATTATACTGATTTGAAGTTTGTGCTATGAAAATAATTACAAGTAATGAAATGATTGACATAGTAAAGTAGTGAATTGTAAGTTTACAATTATATTAAAATTTTCTACAAGTAATCTTAAGACTTGTCTATTAATAAAATATTAAGGAGTTTTAACAGTAAAAGTATACAATATTATCACAATATAGCAATTAAAAAATATGATAATTCTTTGAAACCACAAAATAATACAAATAGAAATCAACAATAAACATCAACATTTCATTATCACAGCTTTATCATAATTTAAGTTATGATAACATCAAAAGAAGTAATAATATTTAGGAAGGAAATGTAAATATATCAGAGATGGAAGAAAAATACAATTGTACTTTCATCTATTTAAGTAAGCGTACTAAACAGAAACACGAAAACCCACGAATTATTCTTTTTTTTTTTTTTCAAATTTTGATTGCAATTTTTTAACTCTAATCGGATGTGAATATAATTCTTTAAAGGATCTCTGATATATGAAATATTTCAAAGCAATCTAATGGTGTATTATCGTTTTTGTACGGTAGAAAAGAAAGATAGGATGTTATCAGTGAATTGATTTCATTGATGAAAACAAAAACAAAAAAAGATTGAAAAAATTTTTTTATAATTCTTTTTTTTTTCTCTCTCTCTCTCTCTCTCTCTTTCTCCTCCTGTTTTTAACCTATTTTGTACTTCTTCTATAAAAATCTCTCATAATATAATATCAACTTAAAAATTATCAAAAGATCTTAAAAATTTAGTATCAGATGGTGGAATTGAAAGACTATTTCTGTTTTAGAAATACATTAAAATAAGATTAACAATACTTTAAATAGTTTTCACACTATGAGAAATGCTAATATTAAAAGATAAAAGCATTAGATAGAAATGTAAACTACTGGCAACGGTGTCATCTCAATATAAAATCACATCTAAAACGGAAATTTATTTTCAAAAAATTTCGAAAATATGTCATTTTTTGCTGACTAATAATCTAAGAGTTATTTTCTTGGAATATTATTATGGCAAATTTCAATATTCTATTTGCTCTACTATAATCTGCTATAAGTTATTAAACTTTATAGAAAATACGTAATGAGTTATTGATATGAAATACAATTAGTCAGAGATTATTAATTCTTTTTATCTAATAAATAATTTTTTTTTACTTAGTATAATTAGAATGAAAAGAATTTCATGATCATTTCTTCAAAATCAAATTTATCTGTATAAGTTAACAGTAAATGAAAAATTCATAAAATCTCAAAAGATGTTAAACTTAATTCATTCAAATTCACTTTTTTTTTTTTCAACGTGACAAGAGTTCTCCAGATATTACAAGAAAATAAAAAAAATGAAATAAAAATGAATTATTATTTTATAGATCAAGTTTTTTTTACAATTCTGGAAGCTTTTTATCAAAAAATAATTTTTGGGATTCTTCAGGGAAACAGAAAGTTGTATTTCAAATTTCTGTTTCATAAACATTATAAATGGATCATTAAAAAAAATTATAGATCAGAGTCTTAAAGTAACAAGGGAAATACTTTATATTTTTCTTCAATTTGTAAAATAATTCAATTTTCATGGAGCTAATCGAATAGTAAATGATAAAAAGTGATAAGGATTAAGTGAATAAAAGAGTTAATTGTCGATTTTCACTGATTTAAACGTCAAATAATTAATGATTAAATTATTTTAAATAATTATAAGTGACTAAAGGCATATGCAATCATTTTCTTTTCATTATCACAGTAATGAACTATTTGCGATCAAAAATTAATCATTAGCAATGCTTCAGTTAATTAGTTAATTATTATCTTAATTATTTGCTACTATATAGAAAAATGCTTTTAATGAATGATTCTGAATAAGTTACAATTTTATTCACATTATTTATTTCTAATTTGTATATTGCCACTAAAATAATAACTTTAGATTACCAATAAAACTAAGTAATGCTTTATTTATGTTTTGAAATATATCCAATCTAGTATTTATCATCGTTGACATCGTCACCGATATCTTCATCGCATTTTTTGTATAACTATCTCGTCTCAACATTCTAAATTTCTTACTGCTCAACTTTCAAAAAGCTTCTTGTTTTAAGATATGAAAATAAAGAAATTTTTTTTCTTTAATTTATATAAATATGAATTAAAATGTGAATTTTAGAATAAATAAACAAATAAAAGAAGATGGGAAATAGAAAAAAGAAAACGAAATGAAATGAACAAAATTTTGCAATTTAAAAAACAGAAAACAAAAGAAAAGAAGGCCGGAAGAAGAGAAGACAAAAGATTAATAATAATAATAGTAATAATAGATATTAATCATAAATAATAATAGTAGCAATAATAATAACATTGATAATAACGATAATAGCAGTGATAATAGACAATAATAATGACCTAATTGACCTTATTATTTTGCATAATGAATTGTCAGAACGATACGATCATTTGACTTCATCATATAACTGTAAATGTGTTAAATACAAATTTCTTTAAACTTTGCAGTTGTCAAGAAAATAAAATGGAATTTTTGAAGGAAGAAAAAAGAGGCTTCACTTCATGAAATTCCCAATATTTGCCAATTACTGGCAAATATTTAATGATATTTCCAATCATATAAAAAAATCATAGAAATTTCATTGTAATCATTTGTAATGACAAGAAAGCGTTTAGGATAAAAATGGCAATTTATGAGAAAATAATTCCACATAATCAATTAAAATTTAACAGATAAAAAAACTAACGTTAAAACAGTATTTAATACTTTTCGATTAAAATATTCTCCTCTTTGCTAATTGAATTTCAAGTATTGCTTAATTTTCAGGTAATTACCATATAATTAGTTCCTAAAATTACATTGATAAAATTAAATAATTGGAATAAAAGTTATGAAATGAAAACGAATATAAGTATGGCGCCAATATGTTGTGCAAAAATATGAAAAGCAAAAGAAATAACTCTGCTCTTTCTATCGGTTATTATTGACCCAACTTTTCTTACTATTTTTAATTTGATAGATAATACTGTTTTATTCCTTCTTAAACAATAATTTTTCTTATTGATTGATCTTAGGTCTTAACGTTACCTTACGAAAATAATTATTTGCACCTTTTAATTGTTATTTTATCGGAAATACAATTCATAAAATTAAAATTTAATTATGTCACTAAATTTTAGGAATACTTCTGATTAAATTAAATTTCTTGAGTTATAATTTATTAACCTAACCTGTAAATAACTTTTTTATTTGAAAAATTCTTGATTGTCAAATACAAATAAACTTTTTTTTTCCTTTGATTTGCTTAGGTTATTATTATTTATTGAAATGTTGCAAGAAAAAGAAGAACGAAAAGTGGATGACGCTATCCATGACCTTCATGTATTGTATATGAAGTACGGTAACTGCAAACTTTTATCAATTTGTGTGAAAAAAAAGAATAAAATAAAATTTTGGGAATAAAATTTCAAAAATTTCAAAGAAATTCAAGAATTTCAAAAATTTCAAAAAAAAAAATCCTAATCTTTTTGCATTAAAGCTATCTTAAGTTTCACAATTAAAAAATAAATTACTTTTTGCTTTATCTTAATTTTATCGCTGAAGAAATTGAATTGAATTCATTATTTGAATTTGTGTTAACAATTAATAGTAATTGAAAAGTCAAAAAGTTGTTTAAATTTGCTAGCCATAATTGGATCAGCTAATTTTTTTGAATCATATATATATATTTCATGCAAAAAAGAGTTTCTTAATTTCAACAACTGTTCAAACATATTTAATTATAATTTTATAATTTTTGTTGATAGATGGAATTTTTTCTTGTAAGTTTTATATATTTACTAAATCTTCTGTGCAAAAAAACGAAATGTTTGAGTAAAATTAGTACCTTTCTCTCTTTTTAATCTCAATTTTTGTTCGATTGCTGAGACATTAAAACAATTCGATCGCATTATTCATTTCTGATATCTGTTGAGTTGCTTCTTAAACTTAGAATAGTTTTCCTAAAATATCAGCTGATTCTGAATCTTATCAGAAGTGTTTCGCTTTTGATAAGATTAGTGATTCCCACGGTGAATGAATGTTCGAATTCATCCAAATACCATTTGGCAATTGTTTGATCAAATCAAATGATTCATTGAATTTTTGTCTCTTTTTTTTCTTCTTTTTAAAATTTTTCATTATTTTCCAACAAACAAAAAATGTGCAAAAAAAAAAAAAAAAAAAAAAATGAAACTTTTTTTTTCAAAACAAAATTTAAATTCTATTCTGTTAAGAAAAATTTTTATTTCTCACAAGTGAATTCGTCCTGCGAATTTGTGTATTAATTTAAAATGAACAAATCTTTTTAAACTTCGTTCGAAATCACATACAAAAAATTTCCAGTTATTATCAACAGATACACAAATTTTAAATGAAATAATTTAAGAAAAAAAAGAAATAGATTAGAATAGATCTTTCGATTTTCTTATTATTTTTAAATTTCATTTATTTTCTCAAAAAAAAAAAAAAAGTATTAAAGATATTTTTCATTGGTTGATCCATGGCAACCATCATTAAATCGTACAAATCAACGAACTCAGTTACTTCAACGTATGGCAACTGCTGTTGATGAAATTTTGAATGCTAACAAAAGGCCAAATTGGTTACATCCAGCAATGTTTCATGGACCATTAACATCAGCAATTTGTTCTGTCAGTTAGTTTAAATTTTTGAAATGATTGAATTTTTTATCAATAATTAGATTAAAAATTAAAAAAGATTTCAGAAATATTTCAAGAAAAAATCATTCAGTGAATTCTTTAATTATACAAGAAGGAAATGTTAAAACTGAGAAAAACTTTTTTTTTTTTTTTTTTTAAACTAAAAAAGAAGGAATCTTTTGCTTTTTTATAATTTATTCACCATATAATTCTTAGCTTTTTTTTTTTATAATTTGTTGAAATAAATCATTTTGTTTTACTCTTTTTTCTTTTCTTTAGTTGCCACCAATTCCTGACAGCAATGCGATATTAATGCCACCAATAGTTGACCCACGTGAAGTATATTGGTCAAAATTTAGCATTTGCAATCATTCTCGTCCTTTGGAACAGAAACCATTTATTGTTTCATTACAGTATTATTCACCACATTCATTGCAAAAGTTACCAAATAATTTTAACTTCTCATCGTCATCCTCTACCTCTCCTCTAATCAGTGATTCATTAACAATTTCTGTCAAAAAGAACGCTTTACCACGTGTAGGCGCTCTACCGAATGATAAATTCCGTGATGCGTAAGTTTTCACTTAATTTATAATATTGTAAAATTATAATGCTTATATATTTATAGACCTATATCATTTTCATATTATATTTATATCAAAATTACAATACTTATATCACTTTTTTTTCAATCTATTTTAATTTCATCAAATGATAAAAAAGATATTTACAACATCTTTTAAGTGTCATGAATTAAAGTAATTTAAAGAATTTATCAATATTTATATTTATTTATAAATTTTAGTTAACAACAAATTAACTGTATTGTCATACAATTTTTTTTACACTAACAAAACTTACAAAAATAATACGTATACATATTCATTAATAATAGTATATTAGGACAAAAAAAATTAAAAAAAAATTGTGCATGCTATTTCATTACTATTTTTAATTAAATTTATTTCAGGAAACAAATTGAAATTGAACTATTTGTTGGGAAAATTTTACGCGCACGTGGCTTACAATTTAATCGTACCAATGATGAAAGCATACCAAAGAAATACCTTTATCAATTACCATCAACTAATCCAACTTATGAATGATAGATATGATTATAATAAAAGAGGAAAAATATATATATTTTACAATTTCCTTTGCTTTTTTTATCATTTGCTCGTTCATTCATTACTATTGCACCTTATCATTTGCTGATAATTCATCTTTTCTTTGAATGGATACTCTCAGTTCATAGTAACATCAGTGATATTTCATAATTTTTTAAAAATTTTTTTCTTTTTTACAATTACTTCAAAATTATTCATTTACTATTGAATTGATCAAGAATTCTTTGATGAAATGTATTATAGAAAAAAAGAAAATCGTTTAAATCAAACATTGACTTTTTTTTTTTGCAACCTATTTTTTCGTATAATTTTTGGCATTTTTTATAATGAAAATGAAATTTTAATTCCAAAGTATATTTTTTAGATTTATTACAAAAGTTACAGAACTGATAAGAATTATGCAATTTTTTTATAGTCGAAATTTATAATGCAAAATTAAAAATTTTTTTTATTACTATAGTAGTATAGCATTACTTCCTTGCTCCTTTTCGTTTGTGTATTTACTTTGTAAATAATTTCTTGTAATTTAGTTGTATTTTCTATTTTCTCATAGACCATCTCATCATTGTTACTGAGACTGATAACTATTTCTTGATTATAAATTATCGGTAACATATCAATCAGTGATATTTGCCATTACTGATAATAGATATTCGTTCTTTATTTAACACTCATATTATCACTGGATACATTAATAGAAAATTATCAGTATTGATAATATTTTTCATCATTATAAGTCTCAATATTTCAAATATTATATCTCTTTGCTTTTTATGAATTATTGATCGTTGATTTGAAAAGGTAAATTTCATGAAAAAAATTCATCGAAATATTTTGATTTAAAAATAAATTTGAAAATAATTCATCGATTTTTCATTGGCTCTATGCATATCACATTACTTCTCATTAAAGCATAATCTTTTCAAATTTCATTAAATATTAACTAAATTGTTATAAAGAATAATTTTTTTAAATTAAAATTGTTTATTCTAACTTTTTCTTTTGCATGAAAATTAGATTTAAATTAATTTTTCATAATTCAATTTAACATAATTTAAATTAATACATCCGTCAAAGTTTTAAAATTCAGAAACTACGTATCAGTCTATGCAAATATCGTCAATTGCTTACTTTTAACAAACAAAAGACGAGAAATCTTCATTGCTTTTTTAGTTTATTTGTTTTTCTGTTACAGAATAAAAAATTACTAAATAATATTTTAAATTTAATTGATATTAAATTTCAAAAAATTCACTAGTATAGGTGGTGCAATTCCTTCATATTAATTCTTTCTTTTTTTTTGTACAGTGTAATGATTAACAGTATTATTGATTGAATTATTAGTTGAATTTAGTTTGAATAAAAATTAAGAAAATAAGAATTACGTAAGAAAAATTTTTGAAATTCTCAAATTTCATGTGCAAAACAATGCTATAATTTCAAATACAAAATCTACATATATCAAGTGAATAACTTATTAATTAAATGAGAAAAATGTTAATAGTTATTTGCAAGTGCGTAGCGATAAATATGAGAAGTGAAAGAGAGAGAAAGTACAAATATTTTAAGAGTGAATTACAAAATCTACTAATTAGTATTAAGTTTAAATAATTTTTTATAATACGATCGGTACATGATAATATAATAATAATTTATTAATGAACTAAGTAACTATTAGCATAGAAATAATTGTTTTATAACACTGATGAAAAAAAAAAAATGAAAAAAATAGTAAAATAATAAAATTTTAACATTATTTCAAGTCGACTGGAGTAAGCAATGCAGATGCTATCAGATGTCGATCGTTGTACTTTTCATTAGTTCTGCCAAATCGTAGAAAATCTTGCTTAAAAAAGTGAGAGAAAGAAGAAATGATTGTTAATGAATAATAAATTTTAAAAAAAAATGACATAATATTGTTTTCAAAATAAATTTCAAAAAAAGGTGGTTTTTTTTCTAAACACAAATAATAAATTGATTAATCAGAATATGAGAAAATTGGTTTCTTTTTTTTTATATCTTTAATTTAGTTAAACAAATTTTTGGTATAGTTCTGCCGAATAGTAGAAAATCTTGCTTAAATTTCTTTTCTCCAATAAAATATAAATTGTTTATGTTTCTGGAAAATTCTATGTTATCAGTTAAATAATAACAATACGGAAAATAAGTTAGTAAAAATATAAATAAATGAATAAAGAAATAAACGAGAAAATATGCAACAAACAAATGTATATATAGCTGTTTGCTATTAATTGTATTTAAATTCAAAAAATCAGGATTAATTTAATTCCAGAATTTAGAAAATAAGCAATGAATTAAGAGAAAACTGACAACAATTAATATTTCAATTTATTCCATTAAATCAAAGTTACAAGAAAATCAAAAAAGTTTCTGTTCGAATCTGTCTTTACCATATATTTTAGCAATTCAAATTCAGCTAAATTTAAACACATTAGTAATTAAGAGCATTGCTTTTGCCCAGTAATTAATCACCTTTCTTGTTATATCTGTAATTTTTATCAGTCTATAATTCAAGTAAGAGATGAATTTCAAATTCATTCAAAAATAACTCACTCTGCCTGTGTTAGCTCGAATGATGCTTTCCAGTGCAGCTTTACGTGAACGAAACAGCGCACCACGTAATGTCATTGATGTTGTAATCATCAAGAAAAAAACTTAAAATTTTAGAAAACTAAAACACTTATCAGAATAATAAAATGAAAATTACATTTGACATATAGCAAAAATGATAGTTTGTAAATTAAAAAAATTTCACTATTTTGCATTGTTATATCTCTAACATAATGCATCGTAAAAATCTAATTAAAATTTTAAAATGTAATTCATTTACTAATATTTATACCAAAGTTAGATAACCATATCTATCATTGATTTAAATTTAATTACATAAGCTACTAGTAGCATTCAATTTTACCTATTTTTCCAATTTTTTTTAGAAAAAAGAAAAACTTACGAATGAATGAAAGCGAAAATTTCATAGCTAAAATGAAAATGAAATGAACAGAAAATATTAAGTACAGGAAGAGATACCTTTATATATGATTCAAATTTTCTAATAAATTTTGCCAATAAATTCCAATCTTCCTTTATTATCTAACCTAATTTTTCAATAAATTATTCAAATTGTTCACATCATTTTAGGTATTATTAGAAATTTGATAATTTATATGGGAACAAATGTGATATATTAAAATATTACAGCAGTTGCACTTTTTGAAAAAACAAAAAAAAAAAAAAAAAAAAGAAATAGAAAGAAAGAATATTCACATTTTTTTGCTTTTTGAATAAGACAAAATTGTAGAATAATCTGATATCATTCATCATTTTTAATCATTTCATTTTTTAATATATAAATGAGAAAGAAAACTAAAAAAAATATTATCACTTATACAACTTTTCGATTCAGAAGAAGAAAAATTTGATTAATTAATAGTTCCAAATATCAAGAAAGAAATAGCAGAAAATTGCACAAAAATGATTGCAAATTTAATTGTATATAATTTTGTGAATTTAAAGTGATAATTCAGATATTTGCTACAATTGTAACGAATATGCCGTGAATCTATAAAGAAATGTTACAGTCTAAATAAAAACACCGAGAAAAGGCTAATAATTGATTTCATATTTGATTGAAATTAATGCTTTTCATCATTAATTAAGCATAATATGTTGAAATTATGATGTATAAATATATATATAGATATATAAGAGAGTAAAAAGGATAGAAAATGGATGATTCATTATCAGTTTAGATAAATAATAATTAATATGCAAAAATATGCATTATGCATTTCTGATACAATCACAACTTTATACTTTAAAAAAAAATGAAGAAAAAAAAAGTGAAAAAACAACTGAATCTTTATGAGAATTTGTTAATATTAAACTCTTTATTCTGCAAATATAACAAAAAAGAAAAAAAAAAAATATTTAAATTTTATTCGTTCTCATTTCTCACTTGGAAGAATATCAAATATTTCATTTCATTCCTTCTCTCTCTCTCTCTCTCTCTCTCTCTCTCTCCATATATTATCCTACTTGTTTATTTTATTTTTTTAATAATTTTATTAAAAGCAGCACGAGAGATTTGAACAAAAAAATGAAAGAGAGAGGAGGTAAAAATAAAATTATTATAATTTCCTTTTAATTTAATTTATTTTTTTAAAAAATCAAAAGAATAAAAAGAAAGAAGAAAAACACTTTTCAGATAAATAAAAAATTTGTTTTTATTTCGTTTCTTTTGTTATGCATCATAAAATTAATTAATAGTCTATTATTATAATAATTTTTCTAAATTGCTGTTATTTTGAATTTAATATGAAAAAAAAAAAAAAAAAAAATGTGCATAAAATAAATTCAAACCATTTTTTTGTTATTTCATCGTTCTCTTTTTCCTTCCTTTCTCTTCCTCTCTCTCATCCTCTCTCTTTACCTTTCTCTCCTTCACTCTTTTATACAGTTCAATGTAATCTACAAGCACATACACACACATACACACACACATACACACACACACACACACATACACACACCACAGACACACACACATATATATATATAGAAAGGGAAATTTTGCTGATTTGTTGAAATGATATAAATTTACGATGAAGCAATGAAAGAAATTATTCACTTCAACATATATCTCAACCCAGTCACATTTCAACAAATCAACTGTATTATTATTATTATTAATATTAGTAGTAGTATTCTTTATTGTTTTGTAATTTTGTTTCTTTTTTTTTTCACTGATTTAGTTTTAATTATTTGTTTCAAAATTCAGTGCAAGAATTAGGTACTAAATTTGTTTCAAAATTCAGTGCAAGAATTAGGTACTAAATTTGTTTCAAAATTCAGTGCAAGAATTAGGTACTAAATTTGTTTCAAAATTCAGTGCAAGAATTAGGTACTAAATTTGTTTCAAAATTCAGTGCAAGAATTAGGTACTAAATTTAAGTATTTCATTACCTACTTGCATTCACTTTAAGCAAAGCAACCTGCTAACTTAATCAATGATTATCCATTTCATATAATTTATGAATGTGAAAACCATCGTATAATAAAATATTATGAATATATATAATCATTTTCGATTCTGTTCTTTCATATCAAATTTTTTTTTTTTTTGCACTGACTTTATGTATGAAATTAAATTTGAAACTGAAAAATTATTTTCTTCCAATATTTCTCAATCAACAATTATTCATTTATACGTTTCCTATCTTCGTTTCATTACAATTTCATTTCCCGTCTTTCGTCATAGTATTTATTGTTTAATTCTTCGTTTTTAAAAAGTTTTCTTCAAGTTTTGATTTTTTTTTCTTGATGGAAACCGAAATAACAAATGTCCGGCTACGTTGCTAAACCGTAAATGCTCCTAATGTTTTTAATAATAATCTATGAGTATTTTCGGTTTCGCATCCTAGCAGGAACAAATGGCGGATAATCAAACTCCTCCAATAGTATCTGAAAATTAATTAGCATTATTCATAATCAAATCCTTTCCCTTGCTTATGATTGATATATTTAAGTTAATATTGATCAGTTCGGAAATAAAACAAATGATTGATGGAGTTGTTGTTATTTCAATCAAGAATCATTATCTCATAGATTTGATTAGCTTTTATAAAATATACCGAATCGAATCTTCTCTACCTCATCCCTTGTTACCACCATGGTGATATTCTTCACAAAAAAAGCTTCATAAATATTTCTCATTTGGATTTCTTTTCTTCATTAAATTGTGAAATAATACTTCGAATTTCGAACACTGAAAGATAAAATTAATTTCATGCAAAAAAAAAAATTTATTGATAAGCAAAGTTTGATAAACAGGTGAAGAAATGCATGACACTAATAATGCCTAGGACCCGTCTATAAAAAAAAATCGTCAACATGAACAAACCATGATAGGAAATCAATTCTACTTGAGTAATTAGCGAATAGAAATAAAGTTTTAAACATGATGGAATATTACATTAAGATAAAATGGATGAACTTTCTAGAAATTAATAAAAAGTTAATACATTCTAAAACATTAACTTTAGTTTGCTTAAATACACATGGAATCTCGATAATTTTATATAAAATGATCTCAGCTTCATAACAAACTTTGTGAAATTAAAAAATAACTTTGTAAAAATAATTATTAAATTCAAGTATTATTTAAATTAATCATGCATATACCAACTATTAAAAAAATCCATTGTAAGTACTTTTAATCCAGTATTTTTCCTGGGATCATCTATTATTAAGGCATTACAACGAGAAGTACTACACATATCCCATGACATTATAATAGTTATGCTAATTGAATTGTCCAACTGATTACTACTTACACGTTGCAGCCTAAAAATTATAAACAACTAATAAGAAAAAAAAAAAAGTAGAACAAACACCTAATAGAATATAAATCAATAAGAAGACAAAGGATTAATTCGTAATTCCAATTATTTTTCTATTTCAAATTGTCAATTTATTCGATAATATAGCAGAAATATTATTATTATTATTATTGGAAAATTCGTCTAAGAAAATAAGTGACATGAATACAGGATAAAATCAGATCAAAGCTATTTTTCGAAAGCTATTTTTCGACTACATCAAAACATGTGGTAAGATTGAAAACATGAAGTAATGAGTTTTGATAATCAAATAATTAAACAAGTGAATCACTAAAAACACAACGAAAAATTTTCGCACGGAATATTTCAATCACTGCATGAGAACAGCTTATAGAACTACTATAAATACTAACGCTATATAATAAAGTAATATAAACAAGAAAATTAATACTCTGAAAAAGTAAATAATTTGTACAAAAGATTTAACAAACATTAAGTTCTGCTGCAGCATTGATTTTTTCATTAGTCAGACCGGGAAAAGATCACACAGAAAAAAGCTAACAATTAAGAAATTGATCACAATAATTATCGGACAACTATTTCCTTTTTTTTCAAAACTAAAATCAAAAAGTCATATAGCATAGGAAGTTAAATAATTATTGATCGGCACTTAAACGTTTAAGAATTTCATCGTATCGTCGATTTCTTTCTTCCATGTCCCTGAATGCATCGTCCAGATCATTATTGAAATCTTTCAGTCGCTTCTCCAAGTTTTCCAAATTTTTGCACTGAAATTGCATTAGAATTAATCAGAAACCAAAAAGTCTGATAAAAAGTTTATTAAAAAACAAAATTGAAAGTTTCAAAACGAAAAATTTCTATTTCTATGTCTACATTTTCCAAGAAACTCTATTTCGAAAGTCCGGATTTAAAAAAATAAATAAATCAACATAATATTAAAGAAAACAAGAATCACAAGAAATCTTACATACGTTTTTTAATGGAATTTTTGGTGAAAAATTATCCATTTAACTACTCTTAACTAATGAAAAAAAGGAATTTAATCAGTAATAAGGACATCAAACTGAAAATGGCATTCAAACAGAGAGGATTGGCTGAAAAGTGTTACTCAGAATGCAAGCATATATGTCATGATACATCCCACGCTTCGGAGTATAAACTTACTTCTCTTTTTGCTGGAAGATAATATCCCTCATTTTGCACGCTGAACTCGTTATTCTTCTTATAATACTGTTGTTGACTTGGATTGTACGTTAGACTATTTAAACTTTCATTGCATTCAAGATTGTTCTTATTCGTCATCCATCTCTCTGTGCAATCAGTACGTTGAATATTTCGTTCCGCTATTTCTACTCCTGAGAAAAAAAATACAATCCATATATATCTGAGAAAGTCTGCATCATACAGTTATATGGGTCTGGAAAATCTTGATTTTTAAGAAATGAGGACAAAATAAGAAGGTGAAAGAGGGAAAGATAAAGGGGAATATGTTGCAGTTATTTTTCACTTCGAACTTCATGAAAACTTGAATGTAGAACCAAAAAAAAAAAAAAAAAAAAAAAAAACTAGCACTCAAATGTTCTTTTAAAATTCAACCTTTTTCAAGTGTTTGTTCATCGAAAAAATTCAGCAATAATGATGAACGTTGAGCTAATGATTCATACCAAGATACTTGGCGCTTATCCTCCAAATCTAAAATTTAAATTTCAAAAAAAAAAAAAACTACACATTTTTCAATTCTCTATTTTCATATAATTTTATAATTAAAAAATAAGAACAAAATTTTGAAAGAATACTATTTTTTTCCCTTGTATAACTTAAACACCCCACACTTTCATAAATCATAACAAGAGAAAGCTTTGTAATTAAATATGTTTTAAATTCTTTTACATTCTTGATCATTAAACATGAGGTGCATGAAAAAGTATGAATCTGATTTTTTAAACTACGAAATAATTTATGAAAGATTACTCTTCCATGAACAAACTTCATTCTCACTTTAAAATAGTTGTCAATACTAATTATTATCATCGCTACCGCTATAAGTAACGTTATTTTTTACTACTGTAATAATTAATACTTGTGTAATACTTTCTACTGTAGTAACTAATATTTGATCGTTACAAGTATTTGTGATTCAGTATATAAATTACAAGTCTCTAGAAAATCGCTCTTGCGAAATCGATTCAAATATGAATGTCATTTGTTCTTGTTTAAATTAATAAAAAGTATTCGAAATCAATCAATTAAAGCACTTAATAAAACATTTTTACACTCTATGAAACAAATAGATATTTTTGTGAAATAAAAACCATTGCGAATTTGATTCGTTGCCCAAAACGGTTTCAATCGTTCGCATTCCATATCAGCAAGTGCTGCAGCTAAACGAATGTCATCATTTTCTTTTGCAATAATATTATTATTGTTAGAATGCAGCCTTTTCCGTTTCAATGGTGAACTTGTGTATGTACTCTGGAAAAAAGTGAATCCTCCTAAATTCAAAGACTTGATAAGAAAAAATCATTTCCACTAGAAAATTTCACTAAAAATGCTCGATTTTATGATAAAATTATGATAAAATTTAACATATTTAACATATGACAGTAATAGTTTTGATGCGGAAATTTTCCTATTAGTTTAAAACTTACAGTGAAAAACTCCCGCTTTTCAATTTGTAAATGAGTCCATAAACGCCATTTCATTAGTACTTTTCGTGCTATTCTTCCATGTCTTTTTTTAATAAAAGCGTTTATTTTCTGCTCAAAAAGCAGCTGAAATAGGATCTACTTAAAAAGCAAAGTATTTATTAATCTAATTCTAAATGATTAATTTCTTTTTAATTGTTACTGTATTTGTAAGACGAGAACAGAAAAATTTCCAGTGTCCTAAAAATATACTACCTAAATCACATATATCTGGTAAAAAACTGAGCAACTGAAGAAAAAAGGCAAATGAAAAAATTCTTACAGAACTGCAATCGAGCTGTAATGCCTCATCTAACGAATAGCCGTCTCTTCGACGAAAAATTAACCCAGATTTAGCTGAAATATGTTGGATAAATAAGGATTAAATATAAAATTTATTAGCACTTATCCCTTATAAGTTGATAATTTCTCAAACTCTGAAAAATCAAATACAAATTACCTGGTAATATGACAGGGAATGACCCTAATAATTCCAGCTTCTTCCGCTCCTGTTCTTTTCTGTAAGCTATTTGTTCTCGCCAACGATTTACAAATTGCTTCAGCCATAATCTAAAATTAGTTTAAATGATGCTGTGACGTTGAAATTCCATATGCAGACCTACTACTTTATTTCCAATAAAACTTACTTATCCAGTCGTTCATTTATATCCTTCAAACGTTGCTTGACGTAGTTCACACCTTCTTCTATTTCTTTTTCTGCTATTTTCCTGACTGTTTTGATTAACACCCCTGCTAACAAATCGTTCAGGAAGCTTTTTCCAATATCCTCTATGAGTTCTTCGTTATGTACTCGCTGACACTTTCTGAAATATATACTAATAACATTATACGAACGGTTAAAAGCAAAACAAAAATTGGAAAAAATTTTATGGAATTGTTGGAAGCTGCTTAAAAATCAAAAATCTAAAAGTGAAATTTCTTCTGCATTTACACAGCTCATCAACCGATGGGATTCTTAAAAAGAAAAAAAAAAAATGAATCTGTAACAGAGTTTCCACCTAATAGGATAAAATAGTTAAAACATACATTATCCATTTCTTACTGATATCCTGAATAAATGTATCAATAACTTCATCCAAGATTGATTTGTTCAGGGAATCAAGCAATAACCGAATTTCATCCTCTCTTTGTTTCGCAACATCAGCAGCTAATTTACGACGATGCAATAATTTAGCAACGATCATAACTTCCTGACAGCATGGCCTAAAAATCCTCAAATTAGAACTTCTGGTATAGTTGTTTCGATCAAAAAAAATTTAATTCCACTCTGAAATACCAATACTGCAAAGTCAACTAACTTCAAACAATCCTCCAAGATACTATCGTATAATACAGTAGTCAGCAAATGAGCTAATGATTTACTATACACTAGCTTGCATAACCTCGTAACTTCTCCTTCTATGATCTCATCTGATAGCTTCTCCGCCAGTACACTGATCTGGAAATAGCAATTTTAGAACAAACATAAATTTGGTATATTAATAGGATAAGACTCAGAAAAACGTCAAGCTAAACGATCATTCGTTACGACGCATCTTTGGCTATTATATATTGGAGACGTCTTAAATGAATCTAACAGAAGAAGCTATTATATCAATTGTCCAAATATCACTCGTTGGAATGTTAGTGGTTAAAACTTCACGAAATTTGTAAACACAAAATAAAAATACTACAAAATAAAAGAAAAAATAAGATGACATACTGCATTATTTTCTTTTTGTGGCAACGTAAATGCGAAAGTTACAGTCTCATCTTCATCCGTCGTTAATCTGCAAATATATATATATATATATATATTTAAAAAATATTCTAAGTTTCAAAAAAATCCAACAAACATATAATCTTGTAAGACCTAAAAATTATGAAAGTCCCTTGAATGAATGTTTTCATATATGCTTAACTATAATACAAATCTTTTGAAGATTTTATTGGCATCATGATATTTTCCGAAATTGCTTGTCTAGAAGACTCACCATAAACTAAGTATTAGGAAAGACGACTTCAGTGAAAAAGAAAAAAAAAACTGCTTATCAAAATACAAGGCAAAATGACAAGTTACTCTTATAGCATCAAACAAAATTAAAAGACTTACTGTTCCCCTCCATTCTCGTTAATATAGTTATCGAGAACGACATCAAACAGGTACGTACCATTTCTGTCGAACGAATTCAATGGAGTAACAATTTCAACTTCAACATCTTGACAACCACTTAATACCTATTAGATACGATTGTTTTATTAAGTTTGAAAATAAAGTAGTTGAACCTAAAAAGGAAAACCAAAGAGATATTCAACAATTTACTTCTGGAATTGAATATCCATCACGTTTCGCCTCAATCCATAAATGAATTTTCGATGGAGGTTCTTCAATTGATTCAATTAATTGAGCTTTTGACATATGCATCAACTCTTCGCCAGTATCCATATCATTATTGCGACGAACATTGTAGCAACCCAAAAACTGTAGTGATGCGTCACGGTCGTCAAATCCCAACAGCTGGACAAATTTGTTCACTGGATACTGCAAAAATACAAAAAATAAAAAAAGTTAATAAATTTGTGAAAGAATTTTTTCCATAAAACTTTCCATCTAAAAATACTTAAATTAATTTAAAATAAAAACCGACCTTTCCCATTATGAATATTGAGTGTGATATAGCATACATTGCCTGATGACGCATACGATTGAAAAATCGGTGACAAAGACAACACTACAACAAAGCAATTCTTTATCGAAACATATCCACTTATAATGTGGCAAATAAAATATTATCTATTAGAAATAAACTATTATTATTACTATTACTTAAAAGTTAAACCTGCAAATAAGTGGCATCATTCTTCAGCAATCGGAAAAAGCGAACATAATTTTGGTTCTGTAAGCATGTAAATAGACGAATTGCTAATCGGACTGAACCTGCTTCTAGAATTTCTCTACGATATGTCAATGCTTGTCTGGAAGTTTATTTAAGTTTTAAAACTTCAAATCAAGGACTTGAAGTAAAGCTAATAAAAAAAATTAATTTAAAAAAATAGACGAATGCATTCGTAGGTATCTCCTAGAGATATTGAAACTGCACTGCACCTAGGAAGTAACTTTGCAAATGCAGCATACTACATAAAAAAACTATTTCTTTTAACTTCACTATTGGCTGAGATGATAGTAATTTGTATTTGTCCTTTATAAAGTGATCTAAGACATAGGAAAAATATTCGTCTTATTTTGACACTATTTGACACGTGCCAAGAAAACTAAAAGGCGAAAAAGCTATCGCAATCAAAAGTTCGTCATTCACACATAAAAAGACAAGGAAAATTGCCAGTAGAACGAAAACCATTCCTAACAAATGTTTTTAGAATTTCACATTACCTAAAAAATTGGAACTTCTAAAGTTGCACAAAAATATCAAAATAATAAAATAATATAAAATGATTAAATACTGAAATTAAACAAATCCTTTTACCGAAATACATTGGAATCCGAGAGATTAAGCATAATTTCGTAAGCACGAAATTCTGCTTCACTGGAATAATGGACTCCTTTCTTCGCCAAATCATCATACAAATAACGTAAGCTTTGCAAGCTTTTAGACAAATTCTCTACAATTGAAAAATTTGACTTCTTGATAAGAAGTTTTTAACATTAAGAACATTTTAACTCTGAATAACAAAAGTGAATCTTTCTATTTATTCTCTATAGGTTAAAGTTCTCTATTTTCAAAGATATAGAAATAGAATTGTAAACAGATAAATCAATGAATAACGATTATTGCAGGTCCAAAAAACTAATAAATCGATGAAAGAGAAAACACCCGTATTCATTTTTTGATCGAATTCATTGAAATTCAATTCACAAAGACGATGGGATGCAAAGATATGCAGTCTGACACATTGTTCGATTAGAGTAACAGCAGTTTCGTTAACCATCATTTGCTGCGTTATGTCCTGAAATCGTTTCTTTTTATTTGCCATCAATACATCAACAATAAGTACTACTGTTTGAAGCAAATAATTTTTGATTCATTCCCATAAAAAAATTTCTGAAACCATCAACTTTACCATGCTTAGCTGTCAAAACTTCTAATTTTTATCTCTTAGGGACTGAGAAAACCTAACAATGTCAGTCCATTAGTTACGAGTCATATGACACTCATATTATATCAATCAAATACCATAAAAAGCTACCAAACAATAAACAATATTTCAAATTCAAACAATGGATAAAAGACCTTTCGGATAGCTCGTGTTCGATTCCACAGAAAATCATACCATTGTGCTAATTCCTCATCTGTTTCCGGAACATGGTTAGCAATCTGCAATTGTTAAATATAAATGCATATTTAACTGAAGGCTTCTGGAAATTTTTAAGGAAAAAAAAACATAGCTTACTTTTCCGACAAGATAATTCATAGTTCGCTGAAGGACATCTGCCGGTCTAAGCTCATGAGGCAGCGGCTCCTCCTAAAAAACAGTCATGTTTATTCAATGATCTGAGAGGTACTTGAAACTCTAAATAAATTATTTTTTCAGAAGATTTTCAAGAATTTAACAAAATAATTTTTACCTGATCAGCTGCACTTCTACTGTATTCTTTCACAGTCAGTTCGGGTGCAATACTTCCATCATCATGGCATTCATAAGCACTGAGACGCTTTTGTACTACTCTCATGTAGCGTTCTTTTTCTGGGCACATATCACAGCAAGAACCCCAAAATAATTTTTTTTAACATTCATCCTCAACCAACCGTTGAAGAAAGTAGAAAGAAAAGGAATCACCGTAGATGTAGGAAATAACTGACAGGCTTATATTTGTCACAAAATTAAATAGGAAATAACTGACAGGCTTATATTTGTCACAAAATTAAATAGGAAATAACTGACAGGCTTATATTTGTCACAAAATTAAATAGGAAATAACTGATAGGCTTATATTTGTCACAAAATCAAATTTACTTTTTACTCTTAGGAAATGTTTATCTACCTGAGCTCTGAATATTCTAACAGTAGCCGTTCAGTGATACTGTAGTAAAAAATAATTTACCTTCAAAATTTTAAAAATTTCATTTTTCTCTTTAAATAAGGCACTTCCCTCTATTTATATAATCACAGTTTTATAATTATTCTTTGAACAATGAGGATAACGAATAACATAAAGAACTCTTAATCCTCCCTTGAAGAATTTATTCACCTGCATAACAGTTGCATTATCAACATCGGTACTTTTCAAACGTCCTCTATGCATCAAACGGTCACGTTCGTCTAGCAACTGATATTTATCATAGTCAGTTTCACAAACTCGTCCAATCATACGTTTCAACTGTCGTGCTAAAGAAGTTAAATTTTAATTATTGTGAACATAAAGAATTAATGAAATATGCAAGTATACAAGAATTAACAATCACACAATGTATATTTTAGAAGTGATTTCTTTGCACACGCTTAATCAGATAAATTCTAAAAAATCTACCGACTGCGCCCTTTGGCAGCAACACTTTTTCAGTCACCGATTCTACTTTTGTATTATCAGTATGTCGTTCCAACTTTGGAACATTTTCTTCCTTAACAGCTGGTTCACGTGCCCACGGCCTTGATGGCTCAACCTAACAAATGGAACAAAATTAAATTAGGGCTTTGGAAACTTGTCACGATTAAATATGCAACCAGATTTACTTCAAAAAATACCTTTTCATAACGAAAAGAAAAAAAAAAAAAAAAAGAAAAACGACGGAAATACATACTGTACGCATTACGCTAGTGAATCTGTTATCGACACCACTGTGTAAGGTACCACGAAGTGATGCGTTTAAACGCTTCCCAAGTTGTACACTTCCAAAAAGTGATGGTTTTACACTTGCTGAAGGCAGATCTTGTGAAATATTTTGGGCATGTTGTGTTGATGACATCCTCTTTCGGACTACACGTGCGGCACGTGCTACGGAATTCCGGCCACTTGCAAGCCTTACATCGACTGAACGCTTGAATGGTGAAGATGGACATGTTGAGGATGAAGACGGACCTCAAATTTAATCAAAAAGTTAATACGGGGAAAATGGTAAAACCAAGATATTACTAAGTGGTTAGCTCCACAGTCATCTAAGCTCATTCACTAACAAATACCATGCTAAATTTTTTTTTAGAATCGCGTCATAGCTCGCACCACTTTTTTAAAAATGGAAGAAAAAAGACATGAATTAAAACCGAATGAATTTAGTAATTAACCAAGTGGATCATCCAAATCGTTGTATCCTTTACGTCTTGGTAGAGTATAGGATTTCCGTGTGATAACGGACAATTTCGATGATGGGTTTGATGCTTTTTTTGGTCGTAAACTGGAATATGTGATAATATTTTTCCGAATAATAAAATTTAATAACAAGCAGTTAAGTCTTCCTTCAAGAGAAAAAAAAAAATCGCTTACCAAGCTTGGGGAATTAGGAACAAATTTATTACCAGGTAAAAATAGACAATTTATTTTTCGGTTTTCAAAAAATCAGAATGGGATTGAAGCTAACGATAACAAAAGACCTAACTGCTTTTGTAACAGTTTTACAACTTTGCAACATTTAATTTATACTACTTAAGCTTTCTTTCTATTGTTATAATAAAAATTAGTGACTCTAACCTTTCTGGAATTATAAACGGAAATGATCCAGAAGACATTTTTCCTCATTCACCAAAGAAATTTCGTTTACTTCTTTTACTCAAAATTCACGTTGCTTTTAGCATATATTGTATGAAATATTACAGCTCGAAAATTTGATTATTTTTCTGAAAATAACAAAAACTGGTATATTCAAAATTCTATCACTTATTATCACATTTTATTCCATTCGATAAATACTGCAATTTACAGCATTTTATTGCAGTGTCATTTTACAAAGATGGAATAAACAATACATATTTCACATAAAAATAATAAAAGAGATGTATAGATGTCATGCAAAGCGCCAAACGTCCATTACAAAAAGAGCACCAAAAAACAGAAAGAAAATAAATACATAAAAGTAAAAGTACAGGCACCAAAGTTTCACGTTACCAACTTTCACGTCATGCAACGAATGACCGCAAACTGTTGGGATGTCAAATTTGCACAATATTAAAGAGACAAATTTTGGCAAAAGAAAAATTGTATGGGCATGTTTACCTTTTGCATGCAGCGTTGTTACGTTGCATGCATGTATGCATGCATGATATAATGTCAGTAATGTTTAAAAATATGTCATAAATAATATCGATAGTTGTAGTTAATTTAAAAATAATTTGTTAAGAGAAATTATTTTTAGTTATTACTTTCATTGATAAATCTTGATCAGTGAATAATTTTTGTTGACGAACTTTTATCAATAGCCTTTATCAGGATTATAAAATAAAATTTACCGCTGCTACTATCATCACTGCTTTAATAAATTGTTATCACAGCTTGCTATTTCATCCCAATCGATCCATATAGCATTATTACACCTGAATATACAAATAGTTTGGTGAATTTTCTATTAATGAACTGTCCGAAATGCTTCTTTACTTCCTATTATCATTTTTTTTTTCTTCCTTTCTTGCTTATGAAATTCTGCAAACTTTTATTCATTTTTTATATTAATTATTTCTAACTAATTTGACATTATCAGAAATTTCCACAAATTTTTGACAAAACAAAGCGAAGTAAAAATCATTGATCCTTTAATTTTCCACTTTTTTTTTTTTTTTTAAAATACAGAAGAAAAAATAAGATAAATTTATCTATATTGTCATTACAAAAGACAGAGTAGTGTAACTTGAAACGATAATGTCTTATTTAACGACTAAAAAAGTGACAAAGTAATTGATGAAAGTACTTTTTTGCATCACTAATTTTAAAATATTCATCGGTATAATAGATATGTTTCAAAAATTTTGAAAATTTTCTTTTTAGTGAAAATTTAATACTTTAAATATTTTTAGATGCATTTGATAGTAGCAACTGTATGGTTTACAATTTCACTAACGTTATGCTCGAGTTTCACGCAATATATTATGTCTGGTGGTCAAACATATGGTTTTATAACAGAACTTTTTTTTGATGTTTTCTCCTCAAAAGAATTACATTGTTTCTACGAAGATTTCCTATTATACAGCGATATAAGTATTTCTACTCGGGTAAATTTTAATTGAAGCATGAATAAAACGAGTATACAATACAAATAACACAAAAAAGTTAGGTTAAAGAATCAATGTGAAAAGTTTTGTAATATTATTTTTTTTTTTACTACTTTTCCAAATATATCAATAATAATAATTAATGAAACTGATATAGACAAAAACTATCTTATTGATACCTTAGCCTACGCAGTTGTTGTTTTACCATTTCAGTTTTTTTTTTTTGTTTTCTTAAATTATAAAAGTTTTTATTAATTTTTAAAGTTTAAATTCAGTACTGTAAAAGAATACAAGAAGAATTTTGAATTGTTTGCAAAGTTGACACAAAAAGTGTTATTTTTCTTATCATTGTTAAATTTTCCTTTCTGAATTAACTTTTGAATTAACAAGAAAAAGAAAAGCATTTGTAGGTTGTTGATACTGAATCGCAATTGTTACATATGCGAATTAGATCACCGAGCAAAAATATTAGTAAATGGTATGAAGGAATCGATCAAGCGGAATTCAGTGGAATGCTACGAGAAGGAGGTCAATGATTTTAGAATTTGAGAGATGAATCATAGAAGTAACATTCCGGTTTATAGAATGCAAATTATGATCGAATTAGAAGTATATTTTGACATTCTTATCTTATATTGTTATTTTTAAAAAAAAAAAAAAAAAAAAAATGCAATCATTTAAGGTACGTATGAAATTTGTACAAAAGTAGACGTAACAGGTACGCGACACGTACGTTTAATGTTGGTTATCTATGCTCATCATCGAGGAACAAAAAATAAAGCTAACAAACTTAAAAAAGAACATCATGAAACAACAGAAAAAATGAACGTAAGATATTTATTCATTAAAAATAAGAAAAAAAAAAAAATGAAAATTTTGTAATATTTATAATTAAAAAAAAAAGAAAGAAAAGAAATAATTAAGGTCTTTAGTATTATATAGTGTCATACATACAATATAGTCAAATAGAAAGTTACTAAAAATTTTTTCCTTCTAAATTTAAAATTAAAATGAAAAATTATTGCAGGAATCGATAAGCAATTTGAGGGAAATGATAGCTTCATCTGCATTTGCATTAAAACAACTGAAATCAACACGTGATATACACTTGCAAATTAAAAATGCCAATAATATTGATATGTTTTCATTGATACAAACAATTATTATTCTATGCACAGCGATTGTACAAGTTTTTATTATTCGAAAATTTTTCTCTAACACTTCTAAAATTGTTAGATAATAAAGTAAAGAAGAAAAAAAAAATGTAGGCAATTTATATAATTTACAGTCTCCTAAAATAATAATAAAAGATACAATGTATCGTCCTTGCTTTTCTGAGTAATTAAACAAATCAATTTCATTGTTTTAAATTTCTTAGCATTTTTTTTGAAAAAATTTGATTAAGAGATTTATGAAAGATAAGGAGGTACGAATGAAATTTGAAGACTTAGATACATATTTTTTTGCTTCTATTTCTGTGATGGAAATTATTAATTAATTTGTTATTACCATTATTATCATTATTGTTATTAATATTATTATTGCCATTATTAATTATTATTATTAATAATTGCTATATCATTCGCAATGTTTGCTTAAAATTCTTTCATATATTTCAGCCAGAAATTATCCAAAAAAAAAGGAAATATATTGCATAAAATGATTATATAGAATTCATCAAAAAAATCTATAAATCAAAAAATTCCATACATTTTTCCTTTTCATAATAATCCATTAATTCAGTTTTGGTTCAATATATGAATTAAATATTGTGTAAAAAGAAAAAAGAAGCATAACGATATCGTAAAATACAGAAATTCTTTTATAAGTTTTTTATTTTTATAAAAAAAAAGAAAAAATCAATACGAATAAAAGGGATTTGTGTTGTTTCTTGCATTTGTTAAGATAAGATGATATTAATGATGCTTGAAGCTATCATTATTTTCATGCACTTTGTTTTCAAAGTAAATATCTAAAATATATGCTTCCAGATTTTTTTTTAAAAAAAGTAATTTTCCTTTTTTTTTTCTTCTCAAGTATATATTTTGTTATCCTTCGTTTTGCTTTTATTCTTTATACATATATAAGTATACGAATGTTTGTATTATTTTTCAATTCAAAATAAAGATTATATTCTAACAAAAAAAGATACATTTTACAAGAAAAAGAAATATTAGCATATGTTTATAAAATATATTTTATTAAAAATATATTTTATAAATAAAAATAAAATATATTTTTTTTTATATTTTTAAAAATAATTATAAAATTGAAAAATTATTTTTCCTTAATTAATTTTGTATAAAATCGATTCTTACAATAAAATAATTATGGATCATTTCTTTAATTAAGCTACATGATTAACGTAGCGATAATTTAAATTATATAATGTTTTTTTGAAGCATTATATGTAGAATTTTTTTTCTGTTGAAAAAAAGAGAAAAAGACAAAGTATTTTGTTAATTTGATAGTTGAAGTAATTAATTGTAGTTGATAAATGTTTTCAAATTAATTATTGAAGGCTATTTTAAACTTTATACTTAATCATACGTACGGAATATAATTTAATAAAATTTCCATCTCCATTTTTCATTTTAGTATGTTTTACTATTTATGTTCACATAAATATTATCAACGATGAAAAGTTATGTCTTATTATTTAGTATTATCAGTATGATATCATTACGTGCTACTTACATTACAAAAGGAATTTAGAATTACATAGCAACGCTATAATTTTAATTTTTAATAAAATTATAAGGTAGCATAAATAAAGGTAAGTGTTTTGTAGGAATTGTTTTCCACAAAAAAAAAAAAAAAGTTTTCCGTAATATTTGACATTAATAAAGTAAATGAAACACATTTCAAATAATTTTATTGAATAAATAAATGCATTATGACTTACCCTGGAAGTAATCCAAAAAATACATTTAATAAATTTTACTCGAATTGCAGGCAAAATAAGCAAAAATTATTGATATAACGTTATAGGAAAACATCCAAGAAATTTTCCAAATTTTTTCATTTTTCATTTTTTTTTTCTTTTTTTGTTGAATTCTACAAAAATAAACTTTGGTTATTTGAAATTGTTAGAAGAATGATAGTAAAGGAAATAAGTGATAAGTGCTAATTATAATTTTTATTACAATTTTAATCTTTTTGCTCATACACTGAAAATGTTACTTTTAATCAAAGTACAAATTGCTAATTAATCGTAGTCCAATGAATTTAACAAATTACGGATCAAATTTTGTTTTCTTAATTTAATCATATTTGTTTGGTTAAAGATTATTGTGTAAATAAAAAATTTCGAACTTGGTTAAAAATTTAAACTTCTCAGTCACTGAATTATGAATCAAATTGAATTAAAAACATATTAGTTGAACTGAAAATTTAATTTGTATTTGTTACTTTTTTTTCGAATTTTACAATGCTGTATTGTTTCTTTAACGCAAACGAAGCATTAATTTAAAGATTTAGTTTGATGTTATTATAAATTTATATCAGAAGTCAATGAATTGAAATAT